CGTATTGTAATCTAATTTAATGCGCAAATGTTTGTGAAGTGCCTCGTTACTAATTTTTTTGTTCACCTGTTATGAATAATTTTATTTTGATAGTCAGAACTCAGAATGCGAATTGCATACATTTATTGTTGCTTGGTAGGACAAACATTATGGATTATCCTGCCTGACAACACAGAATGTAAGCAATGTGAATTCAGACTATTGGAAGTAAAATTATTCGTGAATGAAGTGAGAAAAATATGAATATGCTATTTTATTCATACACTGAGGAATAATAGACACATTTTTCTCTCTGATGCAGTAGGGCTCTTTGTTAGGGGGGGGGGGGGGGGTGGGGTTCTGTATTGAATTTGTTAGGGTCTGTAGGGGGTCCAGACATAGATTTTGGGGCCTTTGTGTAATGTCCCAGGGTTCAGGATTCATTTTAATTCCCTCATGTTCCAAGTTCATGAAAGTTATGTGATCAGTTTTGAATGATAGATAACTGCCTCATTTGTATGGATATCAAAATGAATGTGATTATTGTGCTTCAATTAGAAATACATGTATTACAAATACTGCAACAGACAAATGTTCAATTTAGGCCAAGACGGCCAAGACTTCAAGAATATATCTTATTGTAATCATAACAATTTCTCTAAAGATATGAAAATTCTATGACGCTTAGTCAGCGCGCCTTGTTCAATAGCATTTGATCTGGCAAACATGTTTTTCAAGAAAAACACATCTCACCAGACAGATGGGGAGTTAGCCCTAAAGTCGAGCAGCTCCTTAATTGTGCTCGACTCACTGTATGAGCTACATTATACCATGTACGCTCACTTGTTTGCGTGCAGGTTCACTGAGGTGAAAAACGTGCAGTCATGAATGTTACAGATGCTGGGTTTGGCTCATACATGAGCTTATCATCATAACTTTGTAGCCTTCTCTAAGCTTCGTCAACAAATGAAGTTATTTTGTTCTCCTTTTCCTATCGAAATCCAAAAAAATTTGATCGTCATATCGGGTTGATTTTGTTTGCGGATGTCTGTTAGTCGTAGCTGGAGCTTACTCTATGTACATGTACCTAACTTTTGATTTTTCTATCTTGTTTTGTTGTTTGTCAGCCCAAAATAATTTGTGTCTTTCATATCATAGGTGTGAGGCATTTTAAGAAATATCTTTTTGATTTCAAAGTACATGTACAGCCGACTTGACATTTAACAAAATGACATTTTTTTATCAATATCTGTTTTTCTTTATGTCTGTCAGGGCATATCACTTACACACTGTTCTATTGCTTGTGACATTATCTCTCTCTTTGTAAACGTGTCTATTTACATAATGTCTATCTTATTATCCTCTCTCTCTCACTCTCTCTCACAAACACACACACATGCACAATCTCTCTCACTCTTACTCTTCCCCTCTCTCTCTCCCTTCCTATCCCCCTTCCTATCCCCCTCTGTTTATTTCTGTCATATTTTTCACATTGGATCCTCTCTCTGTCAAATTGCTATATCTTGTCCTCTCTCCCTTTATTTAATACTTTTGTATTTCTATACCTCACCCCCCCCCTCTTTCTCACCCTGTCTCTCTTTTTCTGTCGCTCTTTCTGTCTCTCTCTCTTTCTCTTTCCTTCTCTCTTGTGTGCTCTGTACCCAAGTTGTTTGTGCAGACGTGAGTTCATTGAGGTGACAGACGTGCAGACACAAATGATCCCTGTGCAGGGATCTACCTCTCGCTAATCGCCTGTTTACGTTAAAGGGGCCCCTGGAAAGTGGAATTAAATAAGATTTTTATTGTCTGGCTTGTAAAATTTAGCAATTATAAAAGTTTGAAGGTAATGCGTTGTGTAGGCGATTGTTATTGGGTTCATGAAACAGATAAGACTTTGCTCTTTTTTGTTGTATATATGAGCAAAAGCTTTATCAATTAATATCAATCAAATCGCTTTGTATGTTATTAACCTTTAGTCAACCCATTTTGTGCTTATAGTGTGTGCTCAACAATTCCTAGAAAGTGCTTTTGGAAGGTACAGTACCTTCTACAGGTGCACACATATAGACCTGGGTAGAAAGAAACAATGAAGATAAGATACCTAACTCAAGAAAGCACTCTTCCAGGGCTTGAATCCATAACCTTGGCATGTTCAGTCAAGTGTTTGAACCACTTCACTACAGTATGATACCTTTGCATACAATGTAAATCCCACAATTGATTTCTCTCTTCTGCAAATTGTTAAGAAGTAGTCCATATGGATGAAACTTTCAACTAATAATAGATGTCTTATAGACGGGTATGAGCCTCGCAAGATTTAAACAATGACTAAAGTTGACAATTTTGTTAAGAGATCTTCCTGAATTTTCCAAAGTTTTATAGTTGTTACATCCAATGAATGATGTGAGAGTAATATCAGTCACATTAAACATCTTTAAGAACACATGTGTCTCAGGTGCACCATGAACTTTGCCAGAGGCTTGCCTGACATACAGTACACCCATGATTACATGTAATGATGTACACTGTATGAAAAGAGTAAATTTTGTAAATCAGATTTGTATCCTATTTCGAATGTTTCATTGAGCATTTGGAGGGAAAAAAACAAAGCACCTGTATTCTTTTGCTATTTTCATTGAACCTACATGTATAATCAGGCATAAATATTTATCTTATGAATCAGATGAGATAGATAGAGAAATGGAAAGAAAGATTTTGAAAATGTGATCTGCTTCAAGAGCATTGTAATGGAGATCGGACCATAAAAATTAATGGTCGTTTCTCCTTTCAGTGCATTTTTTGTCATGGTGATAAAATGATCAAGGCACATTTTATATGTGATGTGATGGTACCTAGATATGCAGATATACTGTACATTTAACAACTAAATTATTCATACCCCTTGTAAAATTTGATGTTTTTTTTGTTTTTTTGTAACTCAAGATTGAAAGATGGACTGGTTGAATTAGGGCCTTTGTAGAATTCATTTAGATGTAAGCTTTAATATGTTACGTTCTCCAGAAACATAAATTGGGACAAACATATTTTTCGCAAACTTCACGAACTTCAACAAAATAAAAAACTTTTGTAAGGGTATGAATAATTTAGTCGTTAACTTTACATGTTAATCATGTGTTTAGAGCCATGGGGGTGTTACTCATATGTGTATCATCTGTTTATAGCCATGGGGGTGTTACTCATATAAGTTTCACATAGATTTAATTCCCTTCTGTATCTCGGTTTATGATGTAGTTTATATGTACATGCATTTTGTATTGAATAAGTCAGACAACTGAAAAATATGTAAACTAGACCAGACAGACAATCCAGCTGTACATGTAAAACATGTAGCGAAGGACACAGTGCCCTATATCATCCAGACATATTCAAATGAGAGACAGACGTGCCCAAACCCTGAAACGAGGGCATCGCACTCTTTATCTGCCTAAAGGGGGCGCCGTACAGCGATGGCAAGATCGAGTGAATGTTCGGCAATCTACAGCAACAAAAATTAGGCTAATGAGCTAAAGATGAAACTGGAAATGGGAACGGCAAGCCGATGTCGGCATCACAGCCTTCATCGTGATGCTTGAGCCACTTAAAAATTGACGGCAAACAGTCGTATTTGGGTCAATTACATTAACATTGGTGTTTGCCGTTGCGGTTTACCACACAAGTGCATTCGTAGACACACCACAAGACTCGTAATCACTTGTATCATGATCCTGCATCATCGTCACAGTCAGTATAATTAAAAGTTATTGTCTCCATAATCAGGCGAACTTTTCAGGTCAATAGGAAATTTCCCTTTACTTTGTCCAGGAAATAACTCTTTCTAAAGCCGGTTATATTCCATCAATGTCCTGGATATACAGTGTACATGTTTTACGCAGACTGAGGGATATGGCAGGCAGCTTGTATCATTTGGTTTTATTAACAAACATTTCACATTTTTCAAAGGGGGGATTCTAGCAAAATATATCATAAGAAAACTTCAGAATGAATAGAGTTTCATTTAAATATATCACATTTATGTAATCTTTGTATTTGAATCTTGAGAATTTGTGATCTAAGGCCTTATTTCTAATACTCAGCTCAACATGCATGCTATGAAATGAATAAAAAGGAATTTTTGTTTCATGTTATTACATGAAACAAAAATTTTGCTAATTTCTGGACACATCGCAATAATGAGCTTTGCAAGAATAATTCAAAGTGAGAGAGTACTTATGTGCAATGCAATTTGTATTGAATTGCCCATCTTGGAAAAATAGCAGGTTGTATTTAATTGTTATTGTCTCATGATGTGGTTCATGCTCTTGGTAATTTCTGCTTGATATTATTCTTATGCAATATCTAGATCAGTATTTACATGAAGTAAGATATTGGCTTTAATATGTTCTTGTTTTCTGTTTTTTAATAATGAAAAAAAAAGTCATTGCAGTTGTGAAACTTTCATAAGTAAACCATAATTTCTTCATGTTTGCGGAAAGGAATTTGGTTATTTCTATTTATTAAATAAGGGCTAGAGTTGAATTTGCATATCACTATCACACTTTGTGGTTATACAGAAAAACTTTCTGTAAAGGCACTGGGGACTTGGCTTGGTTTGGCTTGGTCAGATGCAGCAATCGAAGCAATGTTACAAATATGTGGTGATTGCTTGGCATGGAAATTCCCTTGGAATCAGTCTGCTTCAGCAATTTCCATAGTGATAAGTTTTGGCAGGTATTTAAATAGTTGACCCAATTCCCTCTAATTCTCCCGCCACAAGAACTTCGCAAGCATGTTTTTATTTCTTTTAAAACATACAAATTAGATTTGCTGCCACAAATTGCTCAGTCATTTCATCCATTCTGCGGGAGAGGAGATGTCTCATATTAAAGCTAATTTTCAAGATGTGAAGTTCCGCTACAGGATTTCAGTTTGAGATGACAAATGTTATTGCCTATTGCCAGTCAAACGAACCGTTTTAATGAAAGACTTCTATTTCTCATTTCCTTTTCTTTCTCTGAACACAGGATAGCTGCAACGCCACGCAAGGTCAGGAGATGGAGATAAGGGAGATGCCTTTGAGCAGGAAGGCAAAGCAAAAATGTGGGGGATGTGTTTCACCATCTCGGCGGCAGTCTAGAGATTCTGAAGAAAGAACTGATGATGATTGCAGCGTGCAGAGCTTGATGTGTGCTGAGGTTAAAGGATGCCATTGTGAACAAAGTACTTGCTCTGAATCTAGTGAGGTTGTACAGGAGAGGATCCATCATCACAGCAGTATTTCTAGTCTAGCAGAAGAGGGAGACTGTCTATTAATCAGTGACCCAGATGATGTGGACAACCTTACTGATGTACAGGGGCCGGTCACTTCACCAATGGACTCCATAAGGGACAGCAGTTGTCAAACTGGAATAAACAGTGGAACTCCTCATTTATCAGAACAACACTGTGTAGACACCACAGATCCATCACAAGGCTGCTCCAGGAAGTGCTTTGAGGATCACCCAGAGGCACTTCCATCATCAAATCCTCAGTGTCAAAGTGCAAGAATGTCCAGCCCTGTCTTGCCTTCCCTATCCCCCGACCATCTGGACATGTCCCTCCCAAGCAGCAGGCCTGTTTCCCAACCAGCTGCAACCACCTTCCAACCTATAACCAGCAACCATTCCATATGCAGTATGAGTGAACACGCCCCCCTCTTCTTCAAAGATGAACAAACTGTGAACAAGTGTATTGGGGGGACATCCCCGTCCAGCTGCGAACCTGAGGAGTGCTTTGTGATTTTGAATGAGAACGATTTAGAAGAGTTCCGTCAATCGAGGTGTTCAAGAACAGAATCTTGTCTTCAGCAGTGTGGAGCCCCAGGACCAAAGGGAATGTCAGTTATCAGTATGACCAGGTACATATAGGCCTTGATACTGTCATGTGATGGTTTGTAGACCCTGTGGCACTAAGAGAGACTGTGTCCAAAGAACAACCTGAGACCACTCTTAGACCACACTTAAAGTGGTCTCAGGTTGCACATTCCTCCTACCCCATTTCCCCTTTTATTTTGCAAGATGAAGTAGTGATATGACCAGAGGTGGATTTATATTTGGATTTTGTTTTCACACATGCATGTCTGGCACCTTGTTCTAGACTACAGTACCTTAGAATTTCCTCCTTTTTTGTGTTTTTTGGATTAAATTACAACTGGCCAAAGATCCCTTTGAAACAACAGAAGATTTTTCATTTTTTTTCATTTTTTGATATTGAAAAAGTGATTGTGAGAGTCACTCTTTCTGTACCAAATCCAAATTGATATGTACTGAAAGCCCCACCTGAAGACCTTTGTTTTTTATGGATATATCAGGGTTCCGTGTCTTTGAGATTGCCTTTCACAGAACTGCAAATAGAAACCTCATTTTAAAAACATGTACATTGTACAAATCATACAATGGTTAACTACAGTAGTCAACAATAATTTTCAGATTGCTTTCATTCACTTCAATCGAGGTCTCCATACACGGTAAACCTTTCCCCCTTTTTATGGTTTAGGTAATTACGATGGCTTTCTTGCTGAAAAGTGATGTATCGAAAGTTTGGTTTGGGAGAAATATCATGGAGAAAGACAACATTGAAAATTTCATAAGATTCATGTTATAGATGTTAAAAGGCTGTCAGTAATGCTAAACAAACTGAAGTCTTTAATGAAGACCCCCCTCCTTACTTTCAACTATCTCGGTCGCAAATTTGGTCTGACACCCCCTCATTAAGATGGTCTAGCCATGCTCCTGACTGGCAGCAAGCTCCACACTTCAATTTGGAGATAATAGCTTTGTTGTACAACATTTAGAGATTAGAACATTTCAACAGCTCTACATTTGTGGAAAAGGGGGGGGGGTACATTAATTCATAGAATACAATGTTACATAGCACATCTGCCATTCCTTGAAATCATGTAATGACGAGATGAGCTGACATGAGTGGACATTCATTCTATTGACCATTCTATCTTGGCACCAGTGGTCATTCAACAATACTGTCTGGACATGCACAGGAGACTTCCAATTAGCACTGAGGTCACTCGATGCATGGCCGATACATGGCCGCCCTCCCGATGGCCGGCCCAGGGAGAAAAAAATAATGACCACTTGTCAGGGTGTGAGGTAATGATGGGTATGAAAAGATGTGACACATAGATCTATAGTGCACTGGATGCATTGTGTGAATTCATTTCCGTTGTGTGCATTTGCCTAGCTCGATCTACGTGCTCTAGCTGTGACTGTCTGTCTGGTGCAGCTAGCTAGGGTAGATACGGATGGATGAATAGAAGACAGACAATATACCATCAGCTAGCTAGCTAGGGAATAGATCAGGGTGGTACATCCTCCTCAGTGAGAGAGGCAACCTTCATGGTCTGGATATGGCATTTAATAGTGATCGATCAATGGATGGAGGACAACGAGAGTCAAAACGGAGGAAGAGAAGAAAAAGGAGAAAGTTCTACAGCTTCATATCCTGGTTTCAAAACCACTTCCCTTTGATATTTGCATTTTATACCTAATATTCTGATAATTATTGAAGTCAGGATGTTCTTAGAGAAGGTCATTAAGTGAATCAAGAGTAGATTATATCTCCTCCTTCTTGAAGACGAAAACAGAAGATAAAAATAACAGCATTGATTAATATAGTTAATATAAAATGACTGAAAAAAAGAATAAGAAAGAAGACATAAAAGTATGTATTTTCAGCCACTTATGGAATCATTAAGTCCTGGAGGGCGTAGCTAGGTCACACACATTGTATTTTGCCTTTGCTTTTTTTAATGATAAGCTGAAAGGAAACAATAAAAAAATTCTTCAGTTATCTGCTTTCTACACCTACCTTTAATAAGAAATGCTCTTACAATGATTGTTAGGTAGACACTGAGATCTCTTTAAGATGAAAGTGATCACATTGTATTTGTAATGTGCCAAGTCACTCTTTCTGAGGATCGGACCTATTATGTCTATGTGGCTGTCACAAGTATTGATCAGGGATTAAAAGATTCACAGGGGGTACTTATTATTAAAGGGAGAGACTTACAACAGGGTGCTTGCTTTAAAGATAAAGTTAAGTTCTGGTGACGCAATTGTATTATGAAAGAAACCGTGTGGAATCGATCAGAAAAGGTTGATCATGTAGCATATAAGTATTTGGTGTGTACTGCAAGGTTCTGGAGTCATCAAAATCAGAATTTGGCCCAGTCTTGGTAAAGTAACAAGCACTGTACACAGAAAGATGAATATGGGACTACACAAACATGTGGCATGAAAATCAAGCCTCATTTTTAAGCTGTCACTTGTCATATTTAGAATATGAAGGCATTTGAAGAGCCATGCTTATCTCTCTGATGTTCTTCCACACTTGCATAATAACAATGATAGCGCTCATTTTTTTTTTTTCACCTCTCCCCAGATCTATCTAACTCGACCTTCTCTTTAAGTCTATAAGCTCCCTTCATTGTGTCTGGGGAAAGAAGTTGGCCTTGTGATTGATTAGTCTCATCATTTAAACTCTTTGCCTCTTAGTACAATACGGTAAAGCTTGCTTGATGCTGGCAGTTCAACACATAATAATGACAATTTGAATGCATTTCTATAAGCCTTTGATAAAGGAAGTGAATTTAAGTGTTGAGGCTATTCATACATGTAAACTACATTGCATTGCTGAAATGTGTAATATTAAATTACTTGGAAGCCCTTTTTGTATGTTGTACAACAGGTGGGTTGTAGTGCCTTTCATGATATGAGGGGCAATGTATATTGCACATGTAGATTGTAGGATTCAATACTCCAAAATAAAACAACTGTAGTGATACAATAAAATATACAAGAAACAGTGAATATTATCTTGTAGGACTTCATTTGTTCGACCAAGGAAAATATATTTTAACGATCGCCAGGTTGGAGCAATAAATTTTATGAATAATATATGAACAAAATAATTCCCCCTTTTTTTCAGGGGTACAAAAATCTTTACCACCAGGAATGGGACAAACCCTTTCCATTCCTGTTATTTTCTTGTTACATATATCAACCAAAGATAATTTTTTACTATAATTTATTTCATTATAAAGTGAAAAAGTAAAAGAATATCAGTCAGCTAATATACATCCATAATAATCCCTTCCCCTTTTTCTGAATTTGTCTACATAGTTTTGGCTCGCTAAGCAGTGGTGATGGGCCGATGTGCAGGATCTGCCATGAGGGCCCTCTATCAGACGAGGACATGCTTGCACCGTGCCATTGCTCCGGAACGCTCACCTACCAGCATCGCAAATGCTTGGAACAGTGGCTCCAGACCAGAGGAAAAGATGCCTGTGAACTTTGTGACTACCACTTCACAACGGAGCGCAAAGGCAGACCATTCTCTGAGGTAGTTCTAATATATATTGATGCTCTAGCTGTGAAGCTAATTTTCATTAAATATGCGATATTTTAGCATTTCCTTTTGATAAATGGACTTTGATCCCATCTGTAGCAGGTTTGTCTAGAGAGATCATTTCGTTTAAGGGGAGATGTCTTTGGATTTGCGTTAGCAAAAGTGATATATTTTTAAAAAATCAAAGCGTCTTATTTGTTATTGTTGATTTTTGTTTTTAAATATGTTAGTCAATTGCTTTTAAAAGCTTGGTACCCCAACAAAACTGTTCATTCTTTTTGCACTGACCTTAAATTCAATTTTTTTTTCTATATTTGTCTCTGTATGTTTTTATGTCGTATAAGCTTGTATATATTTAATTGAATTGAATTTAAATTTCCAGAACTTTCTTAAGCATCCTTCAGATATGAAGTGGTAAACCAAATACAGTTTTTGTTATGAAGATATAAATTGCCTTTCAGTTGCCATTCATTTACAAACTATTTTTTTTTTGAGGGGAATCTGAACACCCCTTTAGAGCTTTCCAGAATTACAGTATGTCGTAGCCGTCCAGTATTTTTCTGTCATTCTATTAGGAAGGGGATGGGAGGGGACTCTGGGGAGGGATTCATCAGTCATGTTCCAACTCCTCTACTTCATCTGCATTTTTGCAAATGTTGTCATGCTTTAGCTGTTATTCTATCATTGGCCTTTTGATATTCTGGGTAGAATGTAGAATTTCTTGATGAATATTTTTTTCTTCTAAAGTGCACCTGAGCTCAGAACTCATTAAATCGGTTATGTTATATCCTATTTTGTGCTATGTGTTTTGCTCTCTCTTGGAATCCCATAACTTGAAGTAACAAGATAGAATCCACAGAGCCAGTAGGGTGTGAACTCTCAGATTAAGGGTATGAGTTAATACTGTTCTGGCTGCAAACAGACAAAATATTTGTCTCAGTACCTTCCATAGTACCCTACAGATATAAAGATGAAGATTCTTAGTGTTCCAATGAAATAAGGGTCCTGTTTCATAAAACTTGCTAACAATTGCAAGTGTCACAAGTCTATTGCATATCTGCTCCCACCCAATTATCCATTGCATTAGTTTATATCAGTTATTGTAACTTGTTATGGATAGCAATTATTTATGGACTAGTGCCTAGTTTCTGATGATCATAAACCAGAAGTTTTAAGATTTAAACTAAACAAATATTTCTTATCAGAGTTTTCTTTGGAGTATTATAATGTATGGACCCTATGGATGCAAACTGACAGCACTGTCACTGAATTCTTGTCCTAAAGTGGACTCGTGACCCGTATCATGACCTCACATCCTGACCATCTGTCTTTGTTATTTCCCTCCTCCTCCTTCCCCTCCACCATCATCTCAGTGGATCCAGCAACCGGAACGCATCCGTGACAGACGCAACATCCTGGTAGACTGTAGCTGCTTCACGCTCCTCACCCCCCTCGTATGCGTCTCCACCTGGCTCTGTCTCAATGGCGCCTATCATTACCTTAACTTCTACGAGGAGCGTGGCTGGGAAGGGGTCGGTCTGGTTACCTTGGCGAGCATTCTCATCTTCATATATCTCTTCTGGAGCCTGGTAAGATATAGTGACTATGAGTGTTGTTTTATGATTTCATGATTTCATTTAAGCTACTTATATTACTTTTTTCCTTTTTTTGTATATTTTTGGTTGATTGAATAAATGCTCATTATATTATTTTCATAATATCATTAAAATGCAATTGTTTAAACCTTTATGATCGACGGATTTGTAAAAAGTTTTTTGTTCCAAATGTATTCAAAGACATTCAATTCTATACAAACCCTGTCCTGTCAATATCCCATACTTTGTTGTTGTGTTGCTTAAAGGGATCCGGTAACTTTGTCTCAGATTCTGAAACAAAATTATGGATTTAGCTCATGAATAATGCAATGATAATTATAAACCTTTAGCTCAGTCAGGAACCCCATGACTTTTACAAGCCGATCGCTTGTCTGATTATCAAGATATTTATGATTGGAATTACAAATTTTGAAAACCGTTCGCCGGACTGTTTTCATAACACTACAGTCTATTGGGGGAAAAGAGTATGGTAAAACCGGTCACTCAAAGATTTTTACTTTTTTGAGGCACTTCTTGATCATTTTGAAGCGCAATTTTTTTTAGGGCTTCAATATTACACCATATCACAGACACTGATAACGCGTAGGGCCGTGTATCTCAGATTTAACATTGTTAAAAGATCCCTTTAAGCCAAATTAAGCTTGTTTTATCATATGCCGCGATGTGAGAGTTCACGTATTGCGTGCGTTGAAGGGCTGCATGATTGAGCAGTGAATTTGTATTCGCTTTTTTGCATAGATTTACCGCGTATTGCCAGTTACACTGCCGCTGCATGTGCGAACGCCTGTTAAGGGTACAGATTTCTTATTTTTGAAGACTATAATTCTTAATTCTCATTTTCAAATGTTGGCAGGTATGATATCCAATATGACCAATATGATCACCGTATTAATTTGAATGTAAATGTTTTAATAAAAAAAATATATATTTGAAAATGTCACACACTTTAATGCTTAATCTTTCGGTAAGATTGTAGATGTACACCTCAAAATCCATCATTGATTGCTCAATCAGTGTTTGCCTGTTTGAATAATAATTAATCACTATCCATCTGTCAATTGGCAATCATGAGCGAATCCGAGACTTCAGACCTTGACCAACTTTAACAAATCGAATAATTTATAACGCCTCAGTTAGCGCCAGGATTATATACTGGTAGGTAGGTCCTCCCAGCATGCGTGACTGACGCCGAAAGAGTTTCCCCAGGTACGGTACACCAGACTGCTGATTGCTAGACAATTTGTAAAGACATTAACCACACTTGGAACAAATTTGCAAACTAAGGTGGCAACAATGATGAACCTCAATTGTCTGGTTGTCATGGCAATGTGTCTATAGCGGCAGGCTACATGAATTACGCATTAGATGACGACAGACAGGGGGCCCTGGATGCAAGCAGCATTGGAAATCCATCTGGAAATTTGCCTCGCTCTCATCAAATTTGCATTTTTTGCAACACTATGTTCGCAGAGTGTTTTTCTGTGCTATGTCTTGTTTGATGAGGCATGTCTCGGCCATGTGATCTGTTGCTATCTCGTCATTTTCAATGCGCCATAAATGTCGGTAGTAAAACGAGCAAATAATATCTCCCATTTATACTGCTCTATGTAATGATACTAATTCATCTCTACACAAGATATTAGGTAGTAGTTGAGTAGTGTGTACTACTTATTATGTACAGTAAGCAACAATGAGTTGTATGGCTCTACATGTTTCTTTACTTCTATTACTTTAGGATTATTGCAATTATAGGGATGCTACTTCAGATAGGAAGTGATCATGTTAATGTAGAAACTGGGTTTAGCTAGGATTTCAAAATTAGGGGTTAAAAAAGGAAGAAAAGAACAAGGCTTTACCTCCCCCCCCCCCCCCCCCCCCCCCCCATTTCAAACAAAAGCATTCAAAATAATGTAGAGGTTAAAAGTCAAACAGCATTTTCCACAAGAATCTTTTTTCTACCCAGACTCCCTCCTAGATGTTTCTAAAAGCCTTTTCAAGAAAAAGTGCACAGGCCTACATGTGTTTCTTTGTACGCCTGGCCCCAAGGTCCCGCTGCTAATTAGCTATCTCTCCCTCAGTAGGCCCTTATGAGGCCTGTCTTTATCAGCTCAAGGTTGCCAAATAACCAACTATTTTAACTTCCCTGATCGCAAATTAACCAGTTAATTTGCGGCTTCATCAGCCCACATTTGCAATTAGCGGGATATTTGGTCAAGAAAATATCCTGAGAAGTCTTGGTCTTGTTTCCCAAAAAGCGGGCTAATTTTTGCCCGTCCGAGCTTGTTTGTGATGAGCGTAATGGTCTGGTGAAGCTGCAATTTCGAACTTCAAGATAATATCCTGAGTCTGAAAATAGCAGGTTATTAGGCAAATTCAAGCTGATGGAAACAAGCCTAATCTCTCCCTCAGTATTAAGGTCATAAATACTGAAATGACCTTATGGGTTAAAATTTATGATACCATTACAAGGGCATAGAGGTGCAAAGAGTGAGTTAAGACATACCCTACAGGCTCTCGTAACCTTGGCGTCTCAATCTTCCTATCAGAGGCAAGGAAATAAAGGAAAGAAATATAATTACTGAAAGGTTAGAGTTAAGTCAGTAAAAGCTCAGGATGCGTTGCCTGTTTAGACTAGAGGAAAATTGTAAGAAAATAATATCATAAAAACTTGGTAGGAACCATCATGATATATGAAACAGAAGGGGTGTACATAGTTGCACGACACTTGCTACCTCAACAATTGCTCTGCATCAATCAGTTTCACAAACTCAAATAATTACAGAACTTTGTAAGGGTGTGAGTAATTTAGGCTGCGTTTAAGCTCAATTTTGAAGGCAGAATGAGCGATATGAAACGCTCATCGTAAACGCTCATCGTAATCGCAGTTCGAAGGTGTACTGTTTATGCTCACTTCTCTGGCTCCTCCAGGCAATTCTTGCTGTGTGGCCCTAATTGGTCTTGCAGCTGGATTCGCAAACATGCACTGTGCATGCTACGTAGACCCACAAGAGGTCAGTAAGTTGACCCAATTTAAACGCGTTTAACAAATTGTAAACGCATCTTTTTGTGAGTTTACGATCGGCGATTGTGATCGCTGTTTTTTGGTGATTCTACAAAAGTGAGAAGGGACGCAACCGTGTTTTAAACTAAACGCGTAACGGATGCCTGATTCTGGCCAGAAAAAGTTAAGCATAAACACGCCCTTAGTTAACTATATACTATGAATTTGATAGTTTGAATGGGGCCATGCTGGTAAGAGGATTAAAATTGTCAATGATTTTATGACCTTGGCTACTTGGCAGGTGGGTTTTGAGGGATTTCCCCTTTCTTAATGACCCTTTACTGTATGCATTCTCCAGAAGAAGGTCCATTTTATAAGGATGTGAAGCAGCACCAGTTTTGTAGATTTCCATTGCAATTTAATTGCAAAAAAATAGAGAATAAATGGAAGCAGAGTGAGCTTCTCATCTTTGGAAAGCTTAGAAAGAGCTTTGGAAACCTGAAGAAGCACTCTGGTCAAACACAGTAAAGATCACTTTGAGTCCCTGTGGATAGGTCAATTTTGATGTAGCAAATTCTAGCAGACCTTTTGTGCTAAATAGTTTTTATGTATGCTGTTAGTACTGGTACATCTTGACCTACTTTCTGTTTACTTTTGTGGGATTCCTTCTACATTTTATTGAAGATATAATTGATGCCCAGTAAAGTGTGAATATGTCCTCTGGTATTGGCAGCTTTATTCACATGTAAATGCTCGATATAAATGCATCGTCAAAAGTGCTAGTGACAAAAATACACGGGAACGGTGAGCGATTTAGCTCTCGAAAGCGTCAAAAGTGCTCTGGTAAATTAAAAAAAGCTTTGGTAAAACAACAAGAAATTAGTTTAATATCACTGTGAGAAAATTACACTTCAAGACAACACTGAATCCTAAAAGAGCTCCCGCCGAGAGAACAGTATTTTTACACTGCTTCATACATGTATGTACATGTGTGTACACCATGTGCTCTATATCATGCTATCATTTTTCATAGATTGCTGTAATTTCTGGATCAGTCACTTGTAGAAGTACATGTACATGTAATTCAGGAAGGCTATAAAAGTTGTTTGTCTTGAAATGTAGCCCCTGAATGTTCCATTTTCTGATAGGGGCATACACTTTGATTGATTGGGTGGGTAGGTGTGTATTTCACTCTCAGTATAAACCTGTTCCATGTTCACTAACAATAATAACATGTAGATGTACTCCAGCCAGTGGTGTATCCAGACCTTTGCTTGAGGGGAGGTAGGGCAAAACATCCATGCCTATGGTGGTCCATGTATTTCAGCTGAAAATTTCGCTTTCATGAGTGGGGGGGGGGGGGGGGGGGGCGGGGAGTGGTAGTAACGATGTACATGTATGTCCATCTTTCCCCAACTCCTCTTAATTTCATTTTATTTTGATATCATTTGCAAGATGATCAATAGTCAATGAACTTATACTTTATGAGCATTTGAAACTAGCAAGCAATATTTATTTATTTATTTATTATAATTACAGTTTTAAGAATGGTGCATTACCTCTAATGCATGTTCAATTCATAGAACAGTCACATCATTCAACTTTCCTGTGTTAGGTATAACCTACATGGAGATTTGTGGATCCAATTTTCCTATTTCTTAATTTTCAAAATTTGGTTCCTTAATCGATACTTAACATTTTGTGAGGCCGCAAACCAGCCAAGCTGACATAGTTTCTGAGGTTTTAAGAGATGTTTGATGATCAATTACCATTTAAGGGGCTTTTACGTCTTGGTCTTATAATTGTTGAGGGGGGGGGGGGCATACTGCCCCTTTGCCCCCTACAAATATGCTAATGATCCCATAACAATGTTCTTATCATAAATCATGTAAAGTAACATCTTTCTTTCATGCACACATACTCTATTGCCTTAAGTAGGCGTTCTACATGTACGTCTGTGAACTTTCACTGTTCACGAATATAATTTATTGAAATTCTTGTCTGGGTAAGTTTGAAGTGGGGATGGCAGTTTGAAGTGGCTATTTTTCATCTGCCTTTGTACAAACAATGGAAGCCATTAATGCTTTCTAAGCCAGGACAATATCTGCTACTCTCAAGGGCTTAGCATAGATACATAAAGAGGGATATTTATCTCCCTCCCCAGTCATCAGACGAGGTGGAGAGATGACTATATTATGATTGATCAATGAAAAGTCGATAGTCTCTCTAAAATATGATATTTTAGAAAATTAAAGTGTTAGTGAGACACGGGTACTCATCTATCTTTTAAAACCTCCCTCAATCGAATCGATTCTAGATTTTACACACTCCTGTTATTATTATTATTTATTTATTTACAATTACCAAGAATATTTCATAATTGTTGCACACACGTTAAGGTACTAATCTTTCCTCTCTACTATAATGGCAAATCGCTTTAAAAAATCTGTTAAACTCTCCTGTATGTGTTATTAATTTTCTTTGATCTCTCTCTCTCTCTCTCTCTCTCTCTCTCTCACTCTCTCTCACTCACTCACTCTCCCCCTATGTGTGTTCAATTAATTCTTTTGGCCCACATCTTTATTGAGTACTGAATTTGCAGCACTTCCACAAGTTGCCTTACACGTCCAACACATGTGATTAAGCTGCAGAAAGAGAGAGGTAGCTAGAAAAGGAGGAAGAGAGAAGGGGGAAGGAAAATAGAGAATGAAATAGAAAGTGATAGAAAGATACAGAGAGAGAGAGAGAGAGAGAGAGAGAGGAAATAGAAAGATACAGAGAGTGAGAGACAGAGTGAGAGACAGAGAGAGACAGAGAGAGAGAGAGAGAGAGAGAGAAAGATACAGAGAGAGAGAGAGAGAGAGAAAAAAAGATATAGAAAGAGAGAGAGAAAAAAAAGAGAAGGGAAGAATTAGAGCATACAATACATGTTGCAGGAAAAATGTAGGGAAACAGGCGCTTAGTTTGTTAATGGTAATTTAGAGGCGCCAGACAATATAGAACATACAATGACCCAGTTCCTATGTTTTCTTGTCGTCTTTATCAGGGAAGGTGTCTGAGGTATATGTTTTGTTTAGAATGTTGTATCAGACATGATTATGGTGATATCTTGATACATCTAACCTTTCCTGAAGTGTGTAAAATGTCAGAAAGCGCTTTATTCCCTTTATGTTTAGATGGATGGGTATTGTACCAGCAAATTTTACTTCAAACTTTTGTCATGAGATTTGTTTGGTTTAAGGTGTAAAGTGAGCTTTTAAAAAAAAGGGTTTGTTAGCCAATATCTGTAAGCCAATACTTGTGTGTAATGGTATTGTATTGTATTGTATTGTATTGTATTTATTAAACTTCATTGATGTATATCAATATTCTGTTTATAAACATAATTATAATCACTTTACAATGTAATGTAACAATCAATATTCTGTTTGGGAACTTATACATCATATAAGTCAATTTACAATGTAATGTAACATATCAATATTCTGTAAACATATATACAGTATAAATCAATTTACAATGCAGTGTTTATAGCAAAAAAAAAGAAAATTATATTCAGCATAAACACTCTTTTTTCTTTTATTAATAACATGACATAATGCATACAGTAATATAATGTACCATAAAAAACCCAAAGATTTAAATATATAGAACATAATACAGCACTTTTCTAAATAAATTATAAGTCATGCAATATAAAATAGGTAAATGAGGTACATGGAATGCCTAAAATAAATGACGTAATAGTACTTATACATAACTGCGACCTACTGCAGAACTAAACCAAAAGCATAAGATTGTACATTTCTACTTTGTTATAACATATAGTATCTAAAAATTACCCCTCATTGCAATTATGTTTTTGGTGAACAAAGAAAAACTATCTATTACAACTTCATTGTCTAATCTCATTATAAATATGAATTTTTCTTGACTATCCAAATAACAAAAAATTTCTTCCAGATTACTAATTTTTTCTATAAAATCTACTCGTAAATCTTTATACTTGTCACATTTCATAATTATATGGAATTCATCTCCTACAAGATTCATATTACAGTCTTCACAGAATCGTAGATTCGGGGGAGTTTTTTCTGGTCTTTTATACCTTCCCGTTTCTATGGGTAAGTTGTGCGCGCTTAGACGTAGTTTGGTGATATTTTTTCTTAAATTTATATTTGGTATATGAGATAAATTCTTTTCTTGCTTGATAGCGTTTTTAAATTGTCTGAAGGTATAATTTAGATTATAATTTAGATTCAGGAAAAAGTGCCACATGAAGAAAAACAAAAAAATAGGGAGATGTACAGTACATGTAGATTTAACAGTGTTATTATTGGTTATGGTGATGTACATGTATAACTGTGACAAAAAAAATCAAATCTAACAAATTGTACAGGAGTCAGTAGACTAAAAACGTGATAAAATACATCATGCATAGTGCTACTGATAAATGTTAACAATTATGGGGTCTAAAAAAAATAAAATTGGTTCATTCTGAGGCAATCCACTTCTACCATCTAAACACAATTCCAGTGTATACCTCCACTCATAAATCCCGTGTTAATAGATTTGTTGGATAATATCCACTTGTATCATCTAAACACATTCCCAGAGTCCCACTGTATAATGTACATACACTTAGACCAATATATTTAAATGGATTCTCTGTGGGATTTTACCCTCCTGCTGTCTTCACATGATCCCAATATGGTGCCAATAGATTATAATATATATACATTTATTCTGATATCAATGTCTACCATCTCAACATGCTCCCGGTTATACATCTCCCCGAGACTCAAGAATGGATATATAGCCATGGCAAGGACAACAACCGGTCGGAAATATCTGGGACCCTAAATGGGGCAGCTGATATTAGTCTGGCATTATTGTTCGACATATCGCATGGTAGACGCCCTAGAATCAGGTTGGGAGCATTGTATGCGTAATAACATTTGTCTGGAAGCTAGGTAAAGCTGCAGAAAAAGGTCAAGTAACAGGGAGGATGAGAGAGAGAGAAAGAGAGAGAGAGAGAGAGAGAGAGAGAGAGATGAGCAAGAGAGAGAAAATGAGAGAGAGAGAGAGACAGAGAGACACAGAGAGACAGAGAGACAGACAAGACAGACAAAGATAGAAAAAGGGAGAGATGGAGAGGTGTAGAGAAATATATTAAGAAAGAGAGAGAGAGGGGGGGGGGGCAGACTGATAGAAGGAGGGGAAGAGATAGGGAGAGGGAAAGACAGACAGAGAGGTAGATTGTGTCAATTTAAAATGAGGGTAGGGGTTGATGTAGCAATGAAATAAAATCCCCAGTGTTGGCAATTTGAAAGGCCACCCCATTCATTTATACCAAGCTAACAGGTTTATAATGTACGTCTTCAGTAGATATGAACCCATTACGGGTATATATATATATATATATATATATATATATATATATATATCTCACTTCAGTAATTTGTAAATCTGCTTTTACCTACTTTCATCTTCTTGTCAGCTTTTCCTTTTCATAATCTAGGCGTCCTTTTCCATAGTCATTCTGCATTGAATTACACCTGTATTCTCAGTTTGTGTGTTTGTAAAGTCAAAGCCTCGAGTCTAGCCTAACATTGTCAATCTTGTTCTGTGAAATAGTCACACAGTTTCTGTCTCTATACACTTTGAGTTTCAGACCCTGTGTCCTGCACTACAACTACTCACTTGGGTTTGTGCTGGCATACAACCCCCCACTCCTCCCCAAACACTTTTCAGTTTTCCAAAGTCATTCATTCACTTTTTGGTCCGTAAATATATTCACACAAAAATGACAGAATAATTGGCCACTTGTCACGTCAGATTCAAATTTGATGGCCTTCCTGGATAGGTAACATGTACTACTGAAATGACATTTCATGGCAGACTTTTTAGGGTTTACCTTTACAGGAGGGTGCAAATATTTTCACATACATATATCTCATGGGTAGCAATTTCGATATCTCATCACAATAATAATAATAATATTTTTGCTTATATAGCGCTTAATACATCGGCAATTTCTGAGTTTCTAAGCGCTTTACATTATTCTCGGTCATCGGATTCTGGCTTGCCCGCACACAATGTATGCACTTTCTCCACTCCCTTGGGAGCATTTCAGCAAGAGCTACTAGGCTCTTGCTTTATTTATCATCCTGGAAAAGACTGGTAATATTGATACATTTCAACAGGTGAATTTGTGTTTTTGTTTTTTGTATATGACTATATGTATATGCTGCCTATTTCAAATTGGAAATAGGAATGCCCTTTCATCAGTTTATTCTGCCTTACTCATTCCTTTGAGTTGCATCTTTTCTTTTACTCTCCTTCTCATTCTGCAGATGTCACTACGCTACCACTGCATCGTCTGGAGGACATGGCGAAAAGAGCATCAACGCGTCCACGTCGTCATGGAAACCAAGGACTCTGAGAACAACAACAACAACTATGACATGATCAGCGTGGTATCCTCCAAGAACTCCAATCTCCTAGGCGCCCCCTCCCAGAAGAGTCTAAGCAGCAGCTGTGCCCCTTCTCCCAAGAGTCTGAATAGCTTTGCCCCTTCATGGGCCAGTCCTAATAGTTACAGTATTCCCCTCCAAGCTCCACTCGCAAGTATGACCAGTCTCTGATGGTTTTTTTCCTATTTCTAAAAGCTGAGTACTTTCCATCATCACTCTATTTATTTATTCATATTTTGTTTGTGAGGAGAGGAGGGGGGGGGGGAGTCTACTTTTTACCATGTATTGAACAAATCAGACTGGTACATCTAGGATAGTTAGGTTTGCTTTGAGATGCTAGCTGTATATTGGCATAGGCCTTTAACCTCGCTTTAGAGTGTATAAAAGCAGAAATTTGAAACAGCTCTGCCTTCAACGTTTATGCTTGTACATAGCATCTTTGTTGGCTGCAAAGTTGCAAGCACATGAAATTCAAATATCTAAACTCACTAGATTGAATGCAGAGATAAAATGAAATGGCTATTAGAAATGCTCCAAGAAGTTGTGTTTAGATGAGTCTTCTATGCTATAACACTTACCAGGGGACCTAAAGCTTTACGTGTCATCCAGAGGATTTTGTGTCTTGATGTAGTTTCATTCAGTATTTTTTCTCAATCAGTATAAGACAATCTTGATATTATATTAAGAAGGAGCATTTATTCTCTTTTGATTTATTGTGATCTGATCATATTTATTTGAACCTTAGCCATGTCTCAATCAATGTATAAAGCCATTGGCATTTTGGAGAATTAAATACAAGATGCTTCAACAAATTAAAGTTGTTTATAGATTTTGAAATGTTATATTGAACATGAACTTATGCATCAGTTGTTTCATCACAGCAAGTATTTACTTGTGAGTATATACTGAAGGTCTCACACAGCATCTTATTTTTAGTGGTTCTGTTTGAAAATCAATAAAATGTAGTCTACTCTATTCACAAACAACTGGTTTATATTATTGATTGGCGAACATGTGTTGTATATTACGTACGCACGCACGCCTGTAGGCTTCAAATATGCAATGAGATCGAGCTAGATATCTTGCTGTCTTTGAAAACAAACAAAAAAATGTGCCTTTTTTGGAAAGCGGTGGTGAGAAAAATGTGTTGTCTGTCTATGCCTTGCAGAAATGTGTGAGCTGTCTTGTACATGTACATTATTATCCCAGGGGGGTGTTTCACAAAGATCTTAAGTAGAACTTAACACTAAGTTTGACTTAAAAATTATGGACAGCCATTGGAGCCTTAAAATGAAATATACTCAAAAGCAGAAATTCAAGTATTTTAGACATTTTATAAATTCCACAACAAGAATATGAAATCTCCTTAATGATAGAAAATATGAATGATTTGAAATTTTGAATAAACATTTTATGCCTTTCAAAAATATTTTTACCAAATATTTTCAAAGATGCTAATGGCTTTCCATAATTTTTAAGTCCAACTTAGAGTTAAGTTCTACTTAGGATCTTTGTGAAACACCCCCCTGGAGGGATTCTTATCATTTGTGTCAGTGACAAGAAATGAGAATATGAGATGCTTATCAAGATGATACTCGGAAAGACTTGTCTCTTAATCAAGTTTGAGTACCTACGTGTACCTACATGTATGTCCTGCAGGGCAATACTCATGGATATCTTCTCCCATTTCATCTTTACAGAACATAGTTAATTGCCAACATTTCCCCTAAATTGCTATTTGTTATGGCCACTGCACACCTCATGACCTGTCTATGTCTCAATTTGAAAGAAATTGGTATTTGATAAGATATATATAGTTACAGAAAAGTATCAATATTTAATTTGTATCAAGGTCTTTCATTGTCTTATGGATAATAGTGTTAAGATTGAGATTGGAGAATTACAAGCCTTCAAGACAGAGCAAATGGCAGATTGGCTGTTCATCATAGTGACTGGCACCCCAATGATAAATAATTGAGGTTTTTTTTTTCCCCTTCTAATTGAAGCCTAAAAATGCCATGATAGTTTGATATTGATGCCTAAATGACCATTCAGACTTTAATCAAGTACAATTTACATTTTTGAAAATATGGATATAGTCCTTTTAACAATTTTTTCGAAGTTAAGTTGTGCAGCTGCCTTAAGGTGCGACACCCAAGTGCATAACGTGTTGAAACATGCAAACCTTGCAGTAGTCTTGTATAGGCCCATAACCCACATGTATTTCATATATGGGAATTACGACTAGGCATAGAACTTGCTTTCTACGTAGAGGGGGTGTTTGCGAATGTATTACACGTGAGCAGGAAAATCATACTGATAATTCATTGAAAGGTTTCTATGTGTATGATTTGCTAGGGATATTCAAAATTTGTTCCGAAAATGCCTGGAGTATTCCCAAAGCTTGTTTGTCATCATATACCTATGCATTCATTACAAGTCACCCAATAAATCACAACACAAAATCCCATCAAGTTACACCAAAGTGGAATCAGTTGGAAATGTCTAAAAGATGGCTCCATGTTGTCAAAAAGCTTTGACTTGTTCCTTTATGCAGAAGAGTAATTTTTTAAAGTCTCTAAACAACATTCTTTCTGATAAGAAATCAATTCTGCATGTAGATCAATAAGTTATGTAATTGCATTATCATTCTTTCATGGTGTATTTTCAGTTATTCAAACAGTAGTGTTAACATGATTCTCCCAATAAATGTGATTATATGTACATGTTTTAAACCCATCTTTCAAGCTTATGGATTAATGTACCAGAGGCTGTCTTTATCCTCTGTTTGGGCATTATTGAAAAGGATAGTTTAAAAGGATATTTTGTATAATGTTGATTTCGTTTCATTGGGTCTAATTTTTAGTTTATAGGCCACCTTGACCAAAGATGAAATGTGTGAATTTTTTTGTTTAGGGTGTGTTCACTAATTTGCATCGCAAAATTGCTCAGTCTCTTCAGCGCAGTATTGTCTATAGAGTTCTTGATTATTCAATCATTTAATTTGGAATGTGAACACCTTGTTTTTGTTAATGAATTTATTTATCATTGTTAATGAATATGTGCAAATACACATCTCTTTCTCTTTAGGTTCATGATTATCCAAAGATTTCATTTGTTTTGAAAGTTGAGTTGAGTTGAGTTTCGTATTGTGTTTTTGTTCCCATGCATTGCTTTTTCTTGTTAAGTGTTATGCTTTGACAAAGTTCGTATACTGTACTTTTTTTAACAAACTTAAGAAACTATATAACTATAAGCAGGCATTTTGGCTGCAAGCGTGACAAGAACTTGTGTGTGACTTTTTAACATTTCTGGAATGTTTTAGAAATTTCCTTTTAGTTTTGTTTTTATAGATTTTTAAAGTGTACTGCTCAAAGATACTCATACGATCTGAAAAACATCTTTTTAAAGATATTTAATATTTGTATTTAAGTTTATCTATGATATCTATTTGGTGCTCACTGTTAAGCTCGACTTTGAAGGTCCTTTTAACATTCTCCTTATAAACTGTTTTTGAAAGGTTTCCTTAATTTCATTGCTTACTAGTAGATATATCCACCCATGAGCTTCATTGTGTTTGTGTCAAGATATAACTGTGGAATACGCATGATTTGAATATTAGGAGAGACTTATTGTCTTTAGGAACATTGCTCTGATATGATGCAGCAAAACCACTGCGGTCTTTTTATAATGTTCTTAAATGTAATCCGCTTCACATTTCTTTTTAACACAGAGCTCAATGAATATACGCAAGTCCTTTGTTGCGTGCAGTTGCCGATCATTTACACCTTAAGAAAATGCAGCAGCTTTTTTTGCAGCAGTTTTGCCGCTCCTCATCTGAACTGGCTTTTAATGTCTTGGGTACTTCAAGGTTAATAATTTGGCACTGAGAAGCGATTACCATTTAACTTTAATGAAAGAACATCTAATTTAAAACTATCATGGCTGTTTGCAAATGCCATGGATAAACTCTTAGAAGTTTTTATTCTGTGTTTACTAAATAAAAGGCAAGTGGGGATGAAAGTGTAGCAGTATGCAACAATTGTCCTTCACAACTTTATGTGTGTGATACCATGGAACTATTACAAAGAGGTCTGTGGTGTTTACGATATGGAAATTGTGAAGTGCGCTTTAGGATGCTCAGTAATGTCATATGTGAACAAAGATAGGGACTTTTCCATGCAATTTCTCAGTAAAAACAAATAGTCACAACTGTGTGTATGAAATGGTCTTCTGCGGATTTTGAATAAAATAGTTGACTTGAAATGTCTTTGACCATGATGAAATCCTTTCCAACCCATCCAGTTATTAAACATGCAGTACATGAGATGAAGCACATATGCTGATGCGTTTCTATAGAAACTAGGGAAGATGGCAATCTCTTGATTCTCTTCTATATCTGGCCTATAAGATGCCCCAGGGCTTAATCATTGCATTGACATTTCAAAATATTTGTTCCATAGGTAATAACGAGATTGATGATGTGCAATTCACCGTATTAATGACCAGAATATCCAGAACATCGAGGGCTTTTTCCATATGTCCTATTTTTTGCTTGGGGGAAGGGAGGATTGTGTGGTAGTCCTTGCCCCCTGTATTAAAATGGTAAACCTTCTTTTTGAGGTTTACTGCAGAGGAGTATACAATTCAATAGATGAAATGTTTGAGGATATTCTGTCCATAAATAGAAGCTACTGTTTTTTTCCGACAGACCTATTTTTATGTTGCCTCACCCACATTGTAAGAATAATAATAATATTCCGCTTGATATAAACTACCGAGTCACACTATGTGTTAGATCCATGCATTCTTCAATGTCAGAGCGCATTATGAAACAGTATGATACAAAGCTTTGATCTTCATTGAATGTTCAATGATGTGTGCCTTCAACATTCATGTCTCGCTGTTATGATTGGTCAGGATTTCTCATGCAGATTTCTCCTGTAGTGCTATGGTTGGCCTCAAAATTGTATGAATTTCTAATTTTCTATTTATTATTCAAAAGTTTGATGTTTTTCTTGTTGATTTTGTTGTTAAGAGATTCTCTCTGATGTTTATTGAGTCTGATGGAATCTCTTCTTTGTTTTCTCATTGTGTTGTTGCATTAGCCCATGCGTTTGGGTTACATGGTGTGAACAAAAATGCACAGGAATATTTATATCATTTTTAAAGTTCTATAATTAATTTCAATTTTAATATTCAATTAAAAAACACAGTGATTAGGATGCGATTAAAATAAGAAAAGTATCTATATGAATATAAATATGCGGCTTGTTGGAAAAATAACGATGTGGATGTAGGAAGCAAGCTAACGTACGTACGCCTGCAACGAACACCGCTTGATATAAACTACTGAGTCACACTTTGTGTTAGATCCATGCATTCTCCAATGTCAGAGCGCATTATGAAACAGTATGATACAAAGCCTTGATGTTCATTGAATGTTCAAAGGCATTGTTGAATTTAGCCATGATACCTGTGTCACTCTTGAACAAAGGATTTTGATTATTCTTCATACAAGCCTTCTATATTGCTAGCAGTAAATATCTTATGAACTATACAATTGTTCTTTTATTCCTTTGTACAATGCATTCATTTATTTTATTTTTATTTTCTTTGAGATAAAAACTTCTATGTACATGATGGAAATTAAGTGTTTCTTTATATATTCAGTACAATGTGTATATGTGGATACACTGAAGAGATGTGTGTATAAAAAGTGTGTAAATGACAAAAATTGCCATTTAAAAAAATAAGAGATAATTTAGATGGTCTCTCAGAGGCCACTATTTTGTTATGAAAAAAAATGAGTTTTGATGTAGCTTGTCTAGATGTTTCCAAGAAACAAAAAACTGTTAAGTATTGCATATATTATCTCGCATCACACACAAAGTGTGTATTATAATCTATTCCTATGGGTGTTGCAAATAAAAAACAAGAAAAGAAAATAAACAGATATTTAAATCGTCTTGTTGTCTTTTGTGTGACAAATTTACATCATGTGGGTACGAGTGAGGAGTTCATCTGGATGTTTGATTGTAGAACAAGAAACATGACTTGTAATGATGTCATTCATCTATGTCTTTCATCTATGGGTATATCTCAAAATGTTGCTTGACTGATCGATTGAAAGTGCGTGAAGATAATTCTAATGCTTCACAGATAAAACCCAAGGCATAAGCGGTAGTATTCAACAACTTTTATCCAAATATTGTG